ATGCCCGCCGCCCCAGGAAGCCACGGCACCAGGCCTGGAGCAGAGTTATGCGTGTCCTGGAAGCTTGGTACACCAGGTACAACTTCCGTGACCTGTACAAGGCCTGGAGCCGCAAGAAACCTACACACATCTGAAATGAAAGGATAATTATAATCAGACAAAACCTCAGTGCATATTATCTCTGCTTAGGTTTCATTATACTGACCCATACAATGTATTTTTGGCTATTGCTACAAATATAGCAGTGCAACTTAAGACTGGTTTTGTGGTCCAGGGTCACATATGATATGGGCAAAGCAGTGTAAATATTAAACAGTAAACCTGTAAACAATAACACATCTAATAATCTATATTATTAGTATAAATACTACTTTTAAACAAATAATAAAAGCATACTAGCTGATCTCCTTCATCCTCATGAAACAGCAGAGGTTGTTTCAGTGGCCGCCGTATATACGTATGTGTGGCATTTCCCTGGAAGTAGGTTGCAGCAAACTTTGCAAATGTATACTCTGATAGGTCTTCCTCTTCATCATCAGGAAGTGGAAGAGGTTCATCAATGACTTTCTCAAACTGTCTGGGAACTTTCTCAAGATCCTGTTACATCCAAACAAAATCAAACTAAGATAATGTGAAAGCCAGGCAAGGTAAATTACAGAGATTAATAGTCATAAAGTCCTGCACCTCAAACCCTTCTGGTGCTTCACCCTCCAGGTTGGGAAGAGAGTTGGCGCTGCCCAGGAATCCGAACATCTTGTCCACCATGTCAGAGTCGTTGACTGGCTCCTGTTTTTCTCTCTCCATCTGCTCCAGAAACTCCTTTTTCCTCAGTGTCTCATCCCGCTCTGCCTGCTCTCTCTCCTTCTGCTCTTGGTCGAGCTGGGCCAGACGCTCCTGGTGCTTCCTCTCTGCCTCTGCTTGAGCCCTACGTGCCGTCATCTGGTTCCTCAGACGCTCCTCCTCAACCAGACGCTGCCGCTCTGCTTCTAATCGTCGCTCCCTCTAAACAGAGAGAGAACAAACTTTATTATAACACAGTTAAGTATCTGCTTGTCTGAAGGATGGATGGATGGACGGATGGACGGATGGGTGGGTAGATAGATCGACGGATTAATGAATGGATGGATGGATGGATGGACGGACAGATTGATGGATGGGTGGGTGGATGGATGGACGGATTGATGGATGGATGGACGGATTGATGGATGGATGGGTGGGTGGGTGTATGGATGGATGGATTGATGGACTGACGGATGGATGGGTGGGTGGGTGTATTGGATGAATGGATGAACAGATGGATGGATGGACAGACAGGTTGGTGGATAGATGGATGGACGGACGGATTGGTAGATGGATGGTCGGATGAATTGGTAGATGAATGGATGGATGGATGGATGGATGAATGGACGGATGGATGGATGAGTGGATGAGTGGATGGATGGATGGACAGACAGATTGATAGATGGATGAACAGACGGACAGACTGGTAGATAAATGGATGGATTGGTAGATGGATGGATGGATGGACAGATGGACTGATGGATGGGCATATGAATGGATGGATGGACGGGTTGGTGTTTGGATAGATGGATGGATGGATGGATGGATTGATTGATGGATGGACTGATCGACAGACAGATGGCTGGATAGATGGGTGGATGGATGAATAGATAGATAGATAGATAGATAGATAGATAGATAGATAGATAGATAGATAGATAGATAGATAGATAGATAGAATGTAGATTTACCTCCAGTCTGAGACGCTTGCATAGTCTATGTGCTATCATTCCTCGTGCATAAGCCTGGATTGTCAGGACAGCATGGAAGCGCTTTGAGAATGTCCGCCGCACCAGGAAGCCACGGCACCAGGCCTGGAGCAGAGTTATGCGTGTCCTGGAAGCTTGGTACACCAGGTACAACTTCCGTGACCTGTACAAGGCCTGGAGCCGCAAGAAACCTACACACATCTGAAATGAAAGGATAATTATAATCAGACAAAACCTCAGTGCATATTATCTCTGCTTAGGTTTCATTGAGAGCATGCCAACTCACCACAGCGTAGTGCTTTCTAGAGATGTAGCCTCTCCATATTCGCTGGATTAATGTCACAGCCTTTCTAACCCTTAGGAAGTTAGTTCTAGAAAACAAAGATGATAATTTGAAAAGATGTTGTTTTACATGTAATTTTTTTCCCTTTTTTTTTGTCTGCTCTTCTTTTTCTCGTACCTCTCTTTCTGACCTCTCACAGTCTTCTGGATGAGAATGACCTTGTCAGTGATGGCTTTATCTCTTTCAATTTCCAGCTGCATGTCATGATGATCCTACAGCAAGTATAGGCCAAGTATACAATTAGTCACAAATATAAAACAAAGCCAAATCTGCGGAAATTTTTTTATTTGTGGCAAACCTTCAGAAAGATTTTTGTCTTTCCAATCTGCCAATCATCATCTTTCTGCAGAACTGACACAACAATGTGCTGACAGGTCCCTCGCAGATCTTCCTGTAAGAGGACACAGATTCAGAGCTACCTCCTAAAAGCAAATTGTCAGCACTTGTCAAAAAAAATCACCAGATGGCAATTCTAAGAGTGTGCACAGAAAAAAAGCTTTGATAAGAGCTGTCAAGCAAACAGAATACTCCAGACCTGCACGTCACATCTGTTGACTGCATTAACACAGTAATGCTTTAGACTTGCCTGTTTGTAGGCTGGTTTGACCCCAGGCATAAGAACCCGATAACGATCCACAAACTCAGCGAATGTGTAGCGTATGGGATATCCAGCTCTGCGTATTCGGATAGTTTCCATCATCCCAGAGTAGCGTAACTGCCTGACACACAGTCCTCTATCAAACATCTGCAGAGGAGAGAATGAGTGCTGGTATTCAGGGCTCAGTAAAAAAATTTTCTTCTGCAAAATTAGGATTATATCTTCTGTTAAGACAATATATCCTATTATCGATTTGTACAATATATCAATTTATCTTTTTTGTAACAATTAAGATTTTTGTAAACTTTAAGCATATATCTAACAAAATGTAACTGTAAGAAAAAAGTAAGAAAAAATATTCTCTGCAAAAAACACTAGTAAACAAAACAAACTATGCCATAATTTATTTAAAACATTTATTTCATACTAATAAGTACTTTAAATCCATTAACATATTTTTTGACATATCAAAACTTGCTGATATAAAATTATAATTAAACTCGGAGTAGGCTATTTCTTTATTGCACAATGCACATTTCTTAATATTAAACCTAAAATGTGTTTTAATGTCACTATTGATGAGGATTGTACGATCTTTGTATAATATGTCTTTAAATGCAAGATATTTAAAGTGTACCTGAAGTATACTTGCAATAGTTCCACTTTAACACAATCAAATACACTCCAGCATATCTTTAGTTGGACTTTAGTACTACCTCCGCAAAATTAAAGTGCAATAAGTACAAAATTAGCTGTTCCAATTTAGCAGACTTTAAGTATACCACTTTAGTACACCAAAAGTACAAAATCAACGTATTTCAAATACATTTTAGTATATTTTTTCACTAAGGAAACCTTGATATCAATTTTACTTTTAAATGTAACTTGTTTTAATAATTTGTTGATAATTTGACTGGAAAACAAGACAAAAATACTGAAAGAAGAATTTTAGATTTTTTTCTAATCCAAATCAATCAATCAGTACATCCATCCATCCTCAATACCACTTGTCCTATGCAGGATCGTGGTAAATGAATAAATGAATGAATCCATCCATCCATCCTCAATGTCATTTGTCCTATGTAGGATTGTTGTAAATAAATAAATAGATAGACAGATAAATAAATTGTCAGAGATCCAGTCTATGAACTTCTGTTCACTCACAACCAGAGGTCACCCGCTCACCACATGGACTCTCACACTACACAGACTGTTACACTATACCCTGGACTACATTTCCCATCATCCATTGCACTGATTACACCTACAGCTGTAACCAATCACACACCCTACATATGCCATGGACTTCCTCTCTCTCACTGCCGAGTATTGTTCTGCGTTTATCACTCTCTTAGTGATAGCTGCTCTACGGAGCCATTTCGTGTTTTCATAGTCTAGTCAAGACTTGTTATTACCTGTTTCCTGATTCCAGCCTGTGTACCTTGGATTATCTATTGTTTTACCGTTCGGACTCTGTTTGCCCCTGCCTGGACTATTGCTGTGTACCTGGATTATCTCTCTTTGCCTTGCCCTGTTGGATATTGTTCGCCGGAATCTGATCACGTCTGTCCTTGAACTACTCTTGTGTTTTGCCTGTGCCATACCTGTTTGCTGGTGTTTCGACCCTGCCTGTGTTATTGACCACATCTCTGTCTAATAAAGCTTTCAAATGGATCTGCACGTCTCTCGTCTTGTTTGCCCTGTTACATAAATCAACCCATTCTCTATACCATTTGTCCTATGTAGTGCTGTGGTAAAGAAAGAAAGATTGGCTGCGGGCCTTCATATCATCCTCATTGTTGAGCCCTAATTAAATGTTTAAATTATCTGCATCTTATCTTCAAACACACACAAAGACACTGTTTTACTCACCATGGGCTTTTTGAGCTCATTGGGTTTAATACAGCGCACAAAGAAAGGCTGACACACGCTCAGCGTCCTCATGAGCAGCTCGAGTGAGCGTTTAAACTGGCTGCTCAGAGTCGGGGAACGCTTCCTTGTCTCCATTCCCTGAAAACACAGAAATTCTCCCATTAACTTCACACAAAAATAAGTTAAACTCACAAAAGCAATCACACAAAACTACAGCAAATACCCATAGTACACCCATCACAAAGACACCAGTTCACCTTCCTTTGTGGCCCTTTTTTGGTCCAATCTTTTCTTCTTTCTTTCCTGCCTTTAATAAATGTACTGTTTTCATACTCTCTCCCACTCTCATCACATTTCTTCGGGATCTTCATTGGTTGCTTGTATCCTTCTCTGTCTACCTCTCTCTTGCTTTTATTCCATACACTTTACATGCAAATGCTTTAAGAAGGCATTGTAAAGCAAATCTAGTAGTTTCTCCCTTCCTCAAACTTCACTCAGCGCCAGGAAAAAGAGTAAATGGAATTTCTCTCTTGTAAAAAAAAAAGAAAAAGAAGATTAACTCAAAATAATGCTGAAAAACACCAATGAGAACAGGCCGCATCTAACTTGAAACAGAATCTGTCTGTGATGACTAACGTTTTTCCTCAATTCATCTGGAGAATAATGCCGCTGTTAGAGCTATTAAATTATTCTGTCAGCGTGCCCTTACCGACTACTTCAACAGAACCCATTTCCAAAAGAGAAGAAAACCACAGGAGTGAGTTTTAGTAAGGGACTATTGAGAAAATGTAGTTCAACAGGAGTCTGAGAGGGACACAAACCATGCCATTGATTACCTTTTGAAGGGATGCAGTGGGCTCCAAATAGCCACACAAAAACTGAGGCCAAAAATAAGGTAAAAAAATTGAGTGACAGAGTGAGGATAGAAAAGAGAAAGAGAGAGAGAGAGAGAGAGACAGAATTGGGCCAAGTCTGTTGAGAATCAGCCAAGAAAGATTAGGGCTGACATCACCACAGAGAGAGAGTGAGTTAGAGCAGCAGGGTTAGTCAGACTGAGTCATGTTAAAGACTCAGGCTAAAGTTCTAGCATTTGTAGCAGTCACTTCTCTCGTTCACTGTGTGTTTTTCCAAGGGCAATTATACTAGCACACGTCTTTGCTTTTAATATGCAACCCTGACATAAACCTGCATGGCTAGCATTTGGCCCTCAGAGATCTGCAGCCTCGCTGGCGTGTCGTGAGCATATTAATGCTGAGCAAATATGGATTCGGTATTGGAAAAGGGCATCACCATAGCAACATCAGCTTGGAAGATCTGCTTGATGAACTTGTTTTTGGATGAGTGCATGAGTTGGATGATGTCACTGTGGAGGCTGTCTCGGTTTTTCTCCAGGAAACCTGAACAATGAACCAGGAGGAGATTATGTTCCCTTTTCAATGGACATGTAAACATAAAACCATGTCTGCATTTGTGATCGGAGAAATGACAAACAACAAGCGCTACTCTACACTGCTCAAAACTCGCGTTTGAATCATCAGTGGCAAATCCTTTAAATATAAAAAACTTACTTACAGTCTGTGAGTCAGAACAGCCGTCATTGTAGTCTACTCTACTAGGATCAGGAAACAGTCCTCCATAAAATGTGCTGCACACATCTGAATATTTGGGTTGAACTGTTCTGGAACAGTGTTGTTAATACAACTTAACCACTGATTTCTAGTCGTGTCCTCTTTTGGAAGACCAAACAAAGTAGTTTCACACGGCGGGCTAGAGTGAGCGGCGGCAGGCAGGCTTGAGAATGGCGTGGCCGGCAGGCCACATGTGACGACCCTGGGCTGGACTCCGCTTTGTCCGATCCGGCGATCCACAGCTCAAAGTTGATGTATTTCCTCAGCGACCAGCACGGATCAGCTCTAGGCATGACGAAGCAGATATCGTCCTCTTTTGGAAGGCCAAAACAAAGTAGTTTCGCTTTCACAACGAAACACACAGAACACACACGTCTTCACGACATGGTGGCAGCAACAATACTACAGCAAGAATAAAAGTTACACCTTCTTTCTTTGCGTGAACATTTGGGCGACGTTATGCAAATCTTCCCACATCGTGATGTAGACATGTGGGGGCGTGTTTGAACGAGCCGTTTTAGGTAGGCGTGGTTGAAAAGAATATCTCTTTGGATTTGAGACTTAAGTCTTTGCAACTTTACAGATCTTCTTTATGCACTAAGAGATTGTAACACTTAAAAGAGAAAGAAAAAATCGAAATTGCATCATATGACCCCTTTAATAATCTGTGTTGTTTCCTTGGATGATCCACGACTGTTTTTATATTTTTTGATAGTTGTTCATGAGTCCCTTGTTGGTCCTGAGCAGTTCAACTGCCTGCTGTTCTTCAGAAAAATCCTCCAGCTCCTGCACATTTTTTTATTTTCCAGCATCTTCTGCATATTTGAACCCTTTCCAAAAGTGACTGTATGATTTTGAGATCCATCTTTTCACACTGAGGACAATTGAGGGACTCATACATCGCTATTACGAAAGATGGAAACATTTACTGATGCTCAAGAAGGCAACACAATGCATTAAGAGCTAGGGGATGTAAACTTTTGAACAGGATGATGATGGGTAAATTTTTCTTATTTTGTTTAAAGATCTTTTTTTTTTTTTCATTTGGTACTGCACTTAAGAAACTACATAAATACTTAAATGTTTCACAGAAGACAAAATAAATACAATTTACCCTGATCATCCAATTCAAAAACTTTACACACCCCAGCTCTTAATGCATTGTTTTGCCATCTTGAGCATCAGTAAATGATTTCATCTTATATAATAGTTATGTATGAGTACCCCAATTGTCCTCCATGTGAAAATATGGATCTCAAAATCATACAGTCACTGTTGGAAAGGGATCAAATATGCAGAAAAGGTTGGAAAACCAAAAAATGTGCAGGAGCTGGAGGATTTTTCTGAAGAACAGCAGGCAGTTGAACTGCTCAGGACCAACGAGGGACTCATGAACAACTATCACAAAATATAAAAACAGTCGTCAATCATCCAGGAAATGACACATAGTATTAAGATTCAAGAGTATGTAAACTTTTGAATGGGGTCATTTTTATAAATTCAGTTATTATTTTGTCTTGTGGAGAATATATAAACATGTCTTATGTGAAGTAGCTTATTCAGGACAGTATTAAATAAACAATAACATGCAATTTTCATGATTCCTCTTATTTTGTTAAAATTATTAACATTTTGCATATTCTGCAAGGGGCATGTAAATTTATGAACACAACTGTATATCACTACTGAAACATGGGATGATGTTTTGTCAAAAATAAAGTATACTGAATTATCAACTAAGGTGTTATGATAGTTTTTGGTTCAATGTATATTCAAACTAATGAATCCTTAACTTTGAAATTAGTATGATCAACTTTTTGCCTTTTACAAAGAAAAATTTTATTCAAAATACAACAAATCTCATAAATTACACTTGAAATATTGTTAAAAAATATATTTACAATGTAGATGTAAGCAAAACCTTAATAGGTCAATATAACCCTTTTAATTAAATTATTATTACTGTTTCGGTAGTGAAAAATTTGGGGAGAGGACAATTATTCCAAAACTTTCTGAAAATACAATATGTAGCACAATTAATAGAAATGTGTACCATGCTTGGATATTATACAATTTGCATACATAATTTGTTTTTGGAAAAATACATTTTTTCAAGACCTTTCCAACTCTGACTTTGGACCAGTTTTGTAGAATGGCCCATTTATGCGGCACGCATGTGTATATGTATGTGTATATTAATTTGACATAAATTTCTTTCATTTTAAATTTCAAACATCAGTTATTAATATAATGTAATGCTTTTGGACATGCTACTGTATGAGTGCTACTGTATGAATAATAACTGATGTGTGACAACTAATTCAGAGAAATGATATATTATTACTTTTTCTTAATGAATATTATTTTATTATTGTATTAAAAAGTACTGAACTGTATTAAAATTGATTTTTATTCCTACTTTCACAAAACTACATCAAAAGTTTTTTCCTACTAATTTTAAAGGAATATTCAATTCTCTTCTGATTGGCGTACCTCCCTCCTTTCACAGTACAGTGTAATTAACAAGTGACACAAGAGTTTATCAACACATTTTGGTAAACAAACAGCCTGAGTTCTGGCTCAAAGCCTGAAGCTTGCTCATGAGGCTTATGCATGTGAGAAGCTCGGCATGAATCCATAAGTACTGATAACGCAGACGCGTTAAGCCCCGCTCATACTGACAGTGATTAAATTGCTGGAGGTCACAAGCCACTTGAAATCAAGGAAAATCGCCAACTCCCACTAAAAATTGATGATGTCCGGTTGGCTTGTCACTCTACATCGCATTCAGTGTGAACGCTCCTTTACTAATAGGGTGTAGAGCAGATCACAGGGCCGTGTTGTGACCTAGCACTGAAGCTACCGCTGGCAATCACTAGTGTCAGACAGGTAGGGTTTATATCATTAGGTTTAGAGATGATCTGACCTTCTAAAATAGGGTTGGCTTCCAGAACCTGCTGCTCAATCCAGGTGTGTTGGCCGCTGATAGCTGCCAGGAACTGTAAGATGAGTTTGGTGCTCTCCGTCTTCCCAGCTCCAGACTCACCGCTGAACACGCACATAGTCAACACAGTTATAGGCACTAACCAGTGAATTACATTGTGGTAAAAATAAAAAAACACTTAAACTTACCCTAAACCTTTATAGGCTGTGATTTACCTGATGATGCAGCATTGGTCCTTGTTGTTTCTTTGCATACTGAAGTAGCAGTTGTCTGCAATGCCAAAGATGTGTGGTGGCATCTCTCCTATCCTTTTGTTTGTGTAGAGGCGGATCTGATCAGGTGTGTAGATGGGCAGGAGCTGGTATGGATTCACCGCTGTCAGGATTGATCCTGTGTACGTCTGAAATATGTTATTATAAACACATAATTGAGTGGTTACAGGGCTCCAGACTGGAAAAAAACAAAAAATAATTTACAATAATTTAAAATCCGCTGGTGACGATCGGGAGACATTTGCATGTGTAAACACAAAGTTTCACTATCTCCTGAGGTGGCGATGTAGCAACGAACACACAGAAACCCCTGATATCTGATTAATAAACTAATGGACCTTACGTGTCTGTTCTGTTATGAGTCTGCTCTTTTTAATAAGTTTGACAAAAATATTCACAAAACAGCCTTGAACTTGTTTGCAGTTTGAATCAGACTCGCTCAGTCAGTGAATCATTCATGACTGTCATTACTGGAGTCACAATTGACTCCCATGAGTCATTTCTGGTTAAGTATCATTACATAAAGGAAACTTTCTGATCTACTTCATCTATGATTAGATCATCATTCTGAATCTGATTCAGACGTAATCTTTTCACAAGCTTTTTGTTTCAAATGTGACTTTTTTTTCATGAAACTTGCCCACATTCAAGTGTTGATAAAAAACTATGTATGAAGCTAGAATAAAACATTATCTTTTGTTTAAAAGAAGAGGCTCTGTTCTTTCTTTTGACAAAATGCATGTTCAGATATTCATACAACAAAATATTCTGGGGGCAATGATTTTTTTCTGAAAATGATAAAAAAATGCTGGCAGTAGTTGAAATTTTTTTTTTAAAACACTGGAAGTGAAGGAGTTAAAATACTTTCCTCAATATGCAGATACAAGTATTATAAGTCAGTTTAAATATTAACTGTATTGATTTTTTAACTGTATAATCATCCAAGACATTTGCACAACATGCTGTTATCATCATGTAACATCATAGTTTTTCCTGTTCCTCTTTCAAACTGTCAAACTGATGCCATGACACAATTTCCATGTTTCAGCTCTTTTGCTCAGCTGAATAACATCACTGAAACATATATCTTTAATACCATCAAAATACAAATTTGGACAAAGCACAGTTTAGGCATTGTGGGTGACAACTGGTGCTCTTTATGAATCAGTCAGACCCATCAATTTACTACAATGATGTGTTTCATACCATCAAGAAAGAGCAAGTGACAAGAAAATCGAAAAAACTATGACATTCTAGTTAGATAAAAAGTAAATAAATCGGAGCAGCTAGAACACATTTACATACAAATGAATCCTAGCAGTGGTGTACCTCATGAAAAGAGGAATGACCCTAGGACATTTTGCCTATGCCAAGTGATTGAACTGATTCAAGCATTATTTTAAAAGCCTATGACAAAGTTACAATGCATTACATTAGGTATTCTAGTGGTGAGAACGGCTAAAGGGGATTCATTGATGAAACAAAATAAAAGGTCACATTTCATGAAGCCAATTTTCTGCAGCCTGAAACAAAAACAATGAGCAAAAAAGCTATACCATCTAAGAGACCAAAACAAATCATTCATTCAAGCTTTTAACGGAATGAAAACACATGCCCTGATTTCACATTCTGCAAATGCTACAACGAAGGTAAAATATTTTGGTCAATGCCATAAATCAATGCCAATGGTCTAATGACAGTCTATATTTCTGAATGAATGTGTGTGAGCTTTGGAGCATAAAATCTTTAAAAAATGTAAGTTCGGCGACTTAGAATTAATGCTAAGCAGAAACAAGCCAATGCCATCTGCCATTTAAAGTCAGCATTTTGCTGTTTTTCGACCCATTTTACTTAAATAATCTGATGTAATTCTTCGTAAAAGAGGGGAAAAACATTAACTTGAATTTGACCAAATAAGCCCTAAATACGAATCTGACTATAGGCTAACATTATGCTAAAGATGTAATGTGGAATGTTAAAGGGATAGTTCACCCAAAGATTAAAATTACCCCATGATTTACTCACCGTCAAGACATCCTGAGTGTATATGACTTTCTTCTTTCAGATGAATACAATAGGAGTTATATTTAAAAAATGTCCTGGCTCTTCCAAGCTTTATAATGGCAGTGAATGGGGGTTGAGATTTTGAAGCTCAAAAAACGGCATCCATCCATCATAAAAAAAATACTCCACACGGCTCTGGTGGGCTAGGTGTAGCATAAGCTCCGGTGAGAATATGCTAGTCTAACGAGAACACGTACAACAGTTAGTGGAAGCTAGAGATTACAGTTTATGAAGTTTTAATATGTATATTTTTACTAACCCCCCCCAGAGCCATGTGGCGTACTTTTTATAATGGACGGATGCACTTTGTTAGATTTCAAAATCTCAACAGCCATTCACTACCATAATAAATATTAAAAGAGCCAGGACATTTTTTAATATAACTCTGATTGTATTCGTCTGAAAAAACAAAGCTATATACTGTACACCTAGGATGGCTTGACGGTGAGTAAATCATGGGGTAATTTTCATTTTTGTTTTTTTTTAACCCAATCATGAAATTTCCCATGCTGCCTTAGATTCCACAGTAATAAAATGAACATCACCAGACAGAGAAATGTTAAAGGTCACGCTTACATATATGACCCTGTCGTTGTAACGGATCAGGAGATTTCTGAGGATACCAGCTTCATTCAAGTCCCCGAGACGGATCATGTCCTCTACCCCATGAATGGAGGTTGAGTGCATAGGTTTGATGTTTGTAGCATTCTGAAGAGAGATCCGGTGCTCCTAGATAAGGGGAAAATACAGACTTTTACTAATAAAACAGATACAAAATTCATAATTCAATTAAACTTCCTTTCTGATCAGTAGATAAAGAACATTTGTGACCGCTGGGGTATATTTGTAGCAATAGCCAAAAATACATTGTATGGGTCAAAATTATTGATTTGTCTTTTATCTGTTACTTTCCGCATTTATAGTTCACTAACTTTTTTTTTCTCACATGTTGGGCACTATTAAGAGTAGTACACACTGAAAGGCCCACCTTTCCTTCATCATCTAAGACCTGGATATGACCCGAATCACAGAGTTTGACCACGGCGCCAACAGGGACGTCAAACTCACGGCCTGTTCTGAGGTCCAACCAGACATAGTCCCCCTATGGGACAACCCATCAAAAACCAAATCTTTGTCATTGGAAAAATTCACAAATGATTGCAAAAACAATCATTTAAACTGGGATTGTTCACCCAAAAATGAAAATTCTGTCATCATTTACTCACCCTTCACGTGTTCCAAAGCTGTACGAGTTTCTTTCTTCTGTTGAAAACAAAAGAAGAAATTTGGAAGAATGTTGGTAATCAAACAGCTGATGGTAGCCATTGATTCCACGTTATTATTTTCCATATTATGGAAGTCAATGGCTACTGTCAGCAGTTTGGTTACCAGCATTCTTCAAAATATCTTCTTGTGTGTTCGACAAAAGAAAGAAAGAAAGGAACTCCAACAGGTTTGGAACACATAAATGATGATAGAATTTTCATTTTTGGGTGAAAAAGTAAAGAAGTTGAACATTGAGCAAGAGCATAAGAACCTTACCTGTTGCAGAATGACCATGTTTCTGGTTTAGAGTTTTGACATTAGAAGTCACCATGTGAGGGACCTATACAGGATAAAAACAGAAGGAGATTAAAAAAACACATTAAAAATTAAATGTAAAGTTAGATCGAATTAAAAAAGATCAAAGCAAAGGTCAAATAAACCTGCTGTACTGTATGAAATGAAGAAATATATCTATAAGAAAGAAACAGACTGTATGTGACAGCACGTTCCACACCCTAGGCCTTTGCAATCAATTATTTTAAAAGATATTAAGATCTTTTTAATAAAAGCAAGAACCTGTGAGCCTGTATCAGAATTGCATAAGTGTACTCTGAAGATACATTTGATAGAATCTGATTAGAGATTCTCACTGCACCATAAATTTTAAAACCACCCTGTTGGGGCACATTGAAAATTACAATGAAGGAACACTTTCACAATATAGCTTTACTAGAAAGAATATTAAAGACCAAAAACATCTTTAACTTTTTAAAGAGCTAATTCTATTACCAATGTGGGTCAAACTACAAAGACACTGGCCCAGACAGACTAGACCAAACATACAATACATAAAGGTCAGCAGAACTGTTCCATGAGCTTAAATTTCTGTTTTTAACACTACTTTATAAAGGAACACAATTCATTAAACACCAGGAACAAGCCAGTGTAGGCATACAGTTAATGAATCTGTTTCCTAAGCCCATAAAGTTCATCACTGCTGCTTCTGGCGTGACACTTGTGTATTAGTGACATTCAAATATTTTAAATTGATGAGTATTGTTCATTACTATTTCCATCAGTGAAATCATGTATGATAACAAGAGAGACATTAATCTAAAAAAACATTGTTAGTAATGGCAGTTCAGGTTTATATTTAGTATTTGACATTTTAAATAAGCCATAAAACTTTTTGCAAATAAAAAATAAACAAACAAATGAACAAATCAATTTATAAAAGCTATGTTTCATTTGATACATTTAGATGACCAACAATAGCTTATCGATTTTTGTATTCTACTTCTCTGTAAACAACATATCTCTCGTAAGATTTGTTTCTTCTCTACTGTACACTACCATCCAAAAGTTTGAGTTCAGTAAGATTTTAGTTTTCTAAAGAAGTCTCTAATGTTCTCTAAGGCTGTATTTATTTGATCAAAAATACAGTAAAAAGAGTAATATTGTGAAATATTACAATGTAAAATAATTGATGTAGTATATTTTCTATTTAATTTTTTTTCTGTTCTTATTAATGTATTTTCTAACTTAATATATTACAAAATGAAATGTATTCCTGTGGCAATGCTGACTTTTCAGCAGCCATTATTCCAGTCTTCAGTGTCACATGATCCTTCAGAAATCATTCTAATATGAATACAAATTGAACATTCAAAGGAACAGTATTTATTTGCAAAAAAAAATTCTAACAATGCCAGTGTCGCTACTGTCACTTTTAATCAATTACTGTACATGCATCCTTGCTGTATAAAAACATGAATGACTTTTAAATAAACAAAAATACATAAAAATAAAAAATCGTACTTATCCTCAACGCTGGAATGGAAATGCACTATACATTTCCTCTAAGCACTACATGACACCCTGAGCAAATTCTGTATCACAGGAAATAATCAATCAGGTACAGTTGAGGATGCTAGATCATCAGCCATTGTGGCATCCCACCCTGCAATGAACACCACAAATCTGGGCTTATTTTAAGATAAGATTGAGACGGTCCACACCATGGTAGTTAGAAAGACATTATCAGAACTACAGGATATCATTCAGAATGCCTTTTAAATAATATACCTCTTGTAGTTGCTTAAAGCAACTTCCTGATACCAAATATACTTGATGCATGTATTAACACCATGTGCTACTGAGGATAATTACACAGCTGTGGAATAATAGTTTTATTCAGGGAGAGCTTCCTCAAATCCTTACACACTACATGTCAGTACAACCAGCAGGAAGCACAGTCCATGAAACCCACAAGACAATGAGCTTCCCTCACTGATTTAAAGGCTAATAGACTGTGGTCTGGAATTAGTCCCTTACAATGACAGGAAGAAGCTAATGGATTGAACGTTTCTATGATTGAGAGGCAATGACATAACTGTCCCTATTACAACATCACTGAAAGAGCCGTCAGGAGTGCAGATAGACAGCTTAGACGAGCCTGTGCACTCTGCTAATTGGCCTGCCGAGTAGGTCAAAGGGACAATTTGCACTGTCAACCCCACACAGTCTCGTCTCTAAGCTTTTCACCACCGTGATTAAGTGCCAACGTTCAAGAATAACCCTGTAGTCCTCTGTATTGGCAGGGTTTTGTGCACCTTTGAATGCTTTTCAAATGCAGTCTAAGGTCTGATCACTAAGAATAATCAGATCTCAAACCTCAGAAACTTCAAGCCCCTGTTGATCGTCGAGGCCTCTTTTGATCAATGAATGAAAGAAATGCATTAAAGAAATATATTCCACGTTCTGGGTTAAGTTCAAGTTAAGCTTAGTCCACAGCATTTGTGGCATAATGCTGATTATCACAGAAATTAATTAGCATGTATACTGCCATTTCTTTTAAGAAGAAAAGATTGGGGTTTTACAGTAAAACATAATGGAAGTGAATACTTACTATTTCAATAGCATAACCAAAAGATGTAAACAATGTGAGTTTTAATTTGAATTTTGTGTAAAAAAAATTGCTTACTAACTCCAATTATACAACCTTGTTGCCATCACAATGCAATACAATGATCCCCAAGTACCTAAAATGACTGCAAAAAATGATTTAAACGGCTTTGCAGTGCTAATAAGACACAAATTTGAACAGAATGCTTAATTGAAGTGCTTTAAAAAAGATAAGCTTCATATTTCTGCTTTTAAATTATCTCAAAATTGGCCCTATTCACTTCCATTGCAAGTTACTTGCTGTAATTAAAGAAAACAATGGCCAGGTCAAACACACACACATATGTATGTGTGTATGGATGGATGGATGGGTGGTAGATAGATATTATGGTAATCAACGTTAAGCCAAAAATGCAGTAAATTTGACCTGGTCATAGAATATACCTTTAAAATCAACAAATGGATTAGTTTTATTACATTGTCATTATTTTTTATTATTATTAATATCATGCTAATTTACTTCATTTTCCACATATACTGTATATACATATATATTGATATTTCCTACTGACAAACTACAGCAAAAGATAGAAATAACTGGCTTAAAACCATTTTTAGCTAGTGAAAATACTAGTGTTCTAATAATTTTGGCTACCACTGTATATAAAACTTTTGTATATTGTTTATTAGCAAGTTTGCTTGTTTTTTGATAATGTTTGTTAATTGTTCCTGTACTATTAAAATTAAGTTGAAATAACTTGAAACAACAGATTTTGGTCTCAGATTTTCAACATGGTCTTTTTGACCCCATTTTTAGCTCACATAAGAAACAGTTATATTGTCCTGAGTGGACACATCAACACGGCAGATATATTACATAATAAAATAACTGATTCAATGCTCCAGACTCCACAGGGTTAAGCGGAGCAGCACCCATGTGGCCCAGAGCAGGTCAGGTGAGCAGCAGGAGTCTTTAGGAGCTTACACAGATTCCTCTGGATAAGCTCGCCACTAAGCAAACTGTCATTTGAATATTCCAGCTGAATCATTTCCTTATGCGTAGCTTTGTCTTTCAACACTGCATAACTTATTACTACTTCACCTGCGTCATGAACAGACATCATAAACAATACCTGGCTTAGCTGCCTCACAGATCTATTTTTAGAATTTGATAGGTTCATGTCACTATCATCAGGTTAGATGTGAGAATGTAGTTTGGGGAGTGAGACTGAGGCATGTGTTTCCTCATGTTCTGTCCTCATTGCACACTCAATAAGAAGATTAGCATGGATTTTAATCACATAGATTAAGCACAATATAAAGACCAATTTTGCTTTTAAAGATATTGGTTAATGAAATACCAAAATCGGAAAAGTGATACAATGCCTAAATGAATTAATGTTTTGGTATAGATATGCCGGGAGATGCGCTTGGCTTTTGCTAATTTGAGTTTTCAATCATTGAGAGACTTACAGTATTAGTATGTCTTACATGGTCAAACACAGAACTGCTCTCAGCATTGTCCTCTAAACTGAAATGCACATAGGATACTCTGAGAAATGATTTCACAAGAGATTATTCACAAGAATACGGATTTGTGTCCATTTCTACCTGCTTATATACAATTCTACATTTTAGCACTTCTGGTTCAATCGTCCTGAAGTCAAAGGGTTTTTTGAATGGATTTTTGTTTAAATGCCTGACGTAATGTCTATGGTTAATACAGGCTCAATATATTTTCACATTTTATTCTACAAAAATACATAAACACATCAATAATAGCCGCTTGTGATGTTTTTAAAGCTTTTACTTGTCTTAAAAACGGGGGTTGCTAACAAGTGGCTAAATGGGATTACAGAGGTTTTTGGAAACATCATCATAAAACGTCATGACTCTGAATGGATAAACTCACTAGTCCACTTTCACAGTTTTGTTGTGTTTATAATCCTTTTATGTAAAATAATATAATCCTTAAATAATCCTTAAAACTTTTTTATGTATTTTTTTATGAAATTTTATGCAAATTTCACTTTTACATGTTGCTTGAACATAAATGTGTGCTGGCAGTGCGTGTACACAACCACTATATAATTATAAAAATCCACCTGCTCCTTTTTTTAAACCCCCATAAATCATAAGCAGTGTCTCAGAACAAGCCGTTCTCAGAATCCGTAAAATGTGATGTCAAATTTTACAAGCCCCATCCATGACTGTTGACGGACACTGCCGTATTAGCATAGATCCCACCCTGAGTGAGCCACACACAATCCGCAATGTTTATCTTCACGCTAAAGCATTTAAAATCAGCATTCAAGTAAGAAATGTCTTCTTATTAAAGCTATAGATGTTATTCAGTCCAGAGCAGTGAGTGATTTTCTGTTTTTATTTTATTATATTAACAGCATAGACAGCAATACTGTACATTATGCTGCTGTCATTTAATACACAGATCTAATAAAACATGCAATTTCTTTCCCAGATGTTTACCTTTACAGACATAACCAACTGTGTTTCTGTAACTAATATGTGTTTTTCACATAAACGTGTGTATTTGACAGTTTAAGCGCAATAAGACATGAAAGAGAACTTACATGCCGAGTTACAGCCTCTTTCTGTGCGCGTGTTTTAGATGTGTGCGCTCAGAAAACCTATATCAGAAGTTTAAAACGATATGGCTTTAAAACACATGATTTCAACATGATAGACATACTTAACAGATGTTTTTGTTGTAGATCGTTTATATCCTACATTTAGCTCTTCACAGCTGGAGACTGTATTTTGGCCACAAAACTTATAAAAGTCTGTGAAGAAATTAATTTGTGATGATTATCATGATGAACAAAACGTGTGAGAATCATAAACTTTTGTTGGTAACAGTATTTTCTGCAGTAATCCAAAAGCTAATGGAAAAATCCTATTGGGATTTTGTCAAGGGATACAGGGTGAGGCTACTGCTGTCAGACTCTGGTACGTGTTTTGTGTGTGTTTTGCTCCTCATGTGGCTTTCTGTGTTTCCTTATTTGGTCATTTTCCTGTCCTTGTTTAGTTTAATTATGATTCCGTTCAGCTGTGTTCAAATTAATTACCCTTGTATTTAAGTTCCTGCCTGTTCAGTTTCCCTTTTGTCTGGTCTACTCGTTTACGTGGATGTGTTTCCTGCTGTCTCCTGTGTTTATGTACCCTGCGTTCCATGGATTAAAGACTGTTTCGTATATTCCTCGTTCCTTAGTTCCTGTATTCCTCGTGTGTGTGTGTCGTGACAACTGCCACGCTATCCATACTTTTAAGTAATTAAAATACAACCCCAATTCCAGAGAAGTTGGGACATTTTGTAAAATGTAATAAAATCAAGAATCTGTGATTTGTTCATTCTCTTTAACTTTTATTTAATTGACAAAAGTACAAACGAAAAGTTTTCACTGACCAACGTAAACAAGGCTTCAGATGCTCAGCAGTCTGTGATCGTTGTTGTCTGATTCTCCTTTTCACGACTGGTCATACATTTTCAATAGGAGACAGATCTGGACTGCAGGTAGGCCAGTCTAACATTCATTCAGAGTCTACGAAACCACGCTATAGTAGCACATGCAGAATGAGAGTTGGCATTGTCTTGATCTAATAACCATGGATTTCCCATGAAAGACATCATCTTGATGGCAGTATATTTCTCTGTACAATTCTAATATATGCCTCAATGTCAATAGTACCTTCACACATATGCCAGTCACCCATGCCATTTGCACTGATGCTCTAGGCTCTGCTGCACCCCCATACCATGACAGACATTTGCTTTTGCTTCTGTCGCTGATGAAAGTCTGGATGGTCCATGTGGTCTTTGGGACTGAGAATCGCTGTATCGCTGCATACAATTGATGTATAGGTTTCTCCTAGAGTAACAGATATTCAAGTTGCATTTCTTGATGCAGCAGCAGACTGTGGTAAATGACAGTGGCTTTCTGAAGTACTCCTGAGCCCATATGGCTATATTTAACACCGCAGCATGACGGTTTCTTATGCAATGCCATCTGAGGGCTCAAAGGTCAAGCACATTCAACTGAGGTGTCCTGCCTTGCCCTACATGTACTGTGATTTCTCTGGATTCCCTGAATCTTTTCACAATACTATGTATGGTGCTTGGTGAAAGAGCTAAATTCTTTGCAATTTTTCATTGCGAAATGTGATGTTTGATTCGTGTGAAATTTGTCACAAAGTGATGAGCCATGATCCAGCTTTGCTTGCAAAGACTGAGATGCTTCTTTTATACCCAAACATGATACCCTGACCTATTACCAATTCACCTGCTTACTGTGAACTGTTTCAAAACAGTTTAACGTGGATATTCTATAACCTATTCACTTTTATTTTGCCTCTGTCCCAACTTTTTTGGAGTGTGTTGCAGCCGTCAAAATCAAAATTTGTTATTATTTACAAAATACATTTACGTTGGTCAGTGAAAACTTTGGAAATCTTTTCTTTGTACTTTTGTCAATTAAATAAAAGTTAAAGAGGATTAACAGATCACAGATTATTGATTTTATTGCATTTTACAAAAACTTATCTGGAATTGGGGTTGCAGTTATTAGCTACACTAGCTAGTTTTAATAACTGAGTTGAAAACATAATAATAACCATAGCATTTAACATTTGGAAATACATAACTGAAAACTAGAGATCACTGCTGAAAATTTCCACAAACCATGTTTTAGTTATTTGCTCCCACACACTGGCAATTTAGAGAAAAAAGCATCTGGCAAAAATGAAAACATTCCGCTATATTGTTCTAGCACATAAGAAGAGATTATAGATCTTAAACTGTCTGGATTTTCTCGCCTAACTACATCTAATCTCACACTTTATGGGATCAGTTTAATGCAGAAACACATTTTGAGGAGCACTCTGCCATAATTACATTCCACAATGCACTTGTGACTGTAACAAAGAACATCGTGCACATAGGATGCATAAAATTAATACTCAAATTAATGCTCCTGAAATCAGTGAATAACTTAACAGTAAAATGTTGAATAACCAATGAACGTGTTTCCTATTTCTCATGCTTTTCTAGACTTATAGGTCAGGTGTTTATTTGGCTTGTTTCATAAGCGGTCGTTTGCCCTGGGCCAAGACTCACTAAAGGTCTTAAATCTTGTGCCCCTCTAAACTCTTAACTGCTTTATCCAGCACCTCAGTGAGTGCCAGAGGCAGATTAACACAGTCACATCCTCTGTGTCTGTCAGCTGAGAGTCTGTGTCAAAGCAGCATGTCAAAAGTAATTCAGTTCTTGCTTTAAGATGTTTCTTTCCATCCACACAACATCCACGTGAGGATGACTATAAATTGGCTTGTTTCATAAGCGGTCGTTTGCCCTGGGCCAAGACTCACTAAAGGTCTTAAATCTTGTGCCCCTCTAAACTCTTAACTGCTTTATCCAGCACCTCAGTGAGTGCCAGAGGCAGATTAACACAGTCACATCCTCTGTGTCTGTCAGCTGAGAGTCTGTGTCAAAGCAGCATGTCAAAGTAATTCAGTTCTTGCTTTAAGATGTTTCTTTCCATCCACACAACATCCACGTGAGGATGACAATAAGATAGTTCTACACTTGAAATAAATCTCTAAAAAAGTTTTGAAACTTTTAAAACCAAGATGAAATTAAATAAATAAATAATGGTTATTTTTGTCTTGGTTTACAGTAAATATATCTAAATATACTTACATATACAGTATTATAATATATCCCAACAATATAAACATACTTGAAACAAACTTGTGTGAGATATTAAGACTATATCTTAAATTAATACTTAAATGTTTCTCACTTTACAGGCTGTTTATTCTTGTTTTACACAAACCTTGCTAAATTGTAGTCATGAATAAAACAAGAATAATCTATTTGCCAATGGGCTAAAATTTAATTGAATTAAATTTGATAATTTTGAATAATTTTGAATTAAAATTAACAACAAAAAGCTCATTAAAATAAGCTAATTAAAAAAAAAGTTAAATTTCTCTGAAAACATGTCTAATAATTATTACACAATTTGGCTTCTCCAGTAAATCAATCTCATTTTAAAGATGTTTAGACATTTTTTAATGAGAAAAATCATTTAAATTTAATTCAAGATATTTTAATTAAAACAAAACAACAAAAAGCTAATTTAAATAAGCTAATTAAAAAAATAAAATAAAGTACAATTTCTCTGAAAACATGTCTTATAATTATTACACAGTTTGGCTTCTCCAGTAAATCCATCTAATTTGAAAGATGTTTAGATATTTTTACTGGAAAACAAGACAAAAACACTAAGAAAAAGATGTTAAGGTATTATGTTCACCTTATGTTAAGGTATTTCACAACCCTAAAAACCTGTCTACTGACAGTAAAATAACACTCACTCTCAGCTAACTATAGCAAGGCATAAATGGTTTCTCCTGAGGCCTGGTACAGAGTTTCTCCTGAGGCCTGGTCAGCAGTAAGTAGCTTTCCATAAAGCCTTAAAAGAGCATGAGGTGCTGTACGGCTAAGCCCTGAGTATGAAAACTTACTCACCTTACAGTGACTAATTGAATTAAATTTGATAATTTTGAATAATTTTGAATTAAAATTAACAACAAAAAGCTCATTAAAATAAGCTAATTAAAAAAAAAGTTAAATTTCTCTGAAAACATGTCTAATAATTATTACACAATTTGGCTTCTCCAGTAAATCAATCTCATTTTAAAGATGTTTAGACATTTTTTAATGAGAAAAATCATTTAAATTTAATTCAAGATATTTTAATTAAAACAAAACAACAAAAAGCTAATTTAAATAAGCTAATTAAAAAAATAAAATAAAGTACAATTTCTCTGAAAACATGTCTTATAATTATTACACAGTTTGGCTTCTCCAGTAAATCCATCTAATTTGAAAGATGTTTAGATATTTTTACTGGAAAACAAGACAAAAAGGTATTATGTTCACCTTATGTTAAGGTATTTCACAACCCTAAAAACCTGTCTACTGACAGTAAAATAACACTCACTCTCAGCTAACTATAGCAAGGCATAAATGGTTTCTCCTGAGGCCTGGTACAGAGCGCGGCAAAGCAGAAAACAGTCAGCAGTAAGTAGCTTTCCATAAAGCCTTAAAAGAGCATGAGGTGCTGTACGGCTAAGCCCTGAGTATGAAAACTTACTCACCTTACAGTGATTTAAGTGTTTGTATTGCGCCCCGCTCTCCCTTTTTCTTCTTCTTCTATCTCTGCACCTCTATCTGTCCGTCCTTCTGTCTCTAATTGTTATGTATGTCCACACGTCCAGGTTCAAGAGATGGTCTGCAGTCAGATGATTGACAGGTGTAAATTATATCAGACGATAAAGTACACTCTTCCGCAGTCACTGCAGTTGTCCTCTTATGTATGACCTACTGTGGGCTACCTGTTGCTGTGGGATGCTGGGTAATGCAGGAGGAGAGCAGTGACAGCATTCAGCGTCGCCTTCAATGGCACTCCTGATCCAGCTTACAGGGAGGCGGGGTTAGCAGCGGGTGGTCACTGTGGGGGAGGTAAGGGCTTGACACAAAGGTCTGTTGGTCACTTCATCTAAAGTACATGGCCGCTAGTTTCCTGTTACTCTCTCATGCCTCAAGCTCCTCTGTAAACTAAACATGAAAAGGTCAAGCTTTTGTATCTATAAATGGATGCTGGGTGTGTCTGATTCAATGAATATAAAATTTAAATGGATATGGCTTGAATCCAAAGTGTACAACCTCCATAAATAACCAGTCAAAGTGATACGGTAAATAATACAGTAAAATGCCTAATAGTCAAGGCTATTTTAATAGTTTGAAAAATGTATTTAATTTTAAAGTAGCATATTGATTTTTTCCCCTGATATTTTTCTAATTAAATAGAAACAGCATCAGAAACATGTTAAAAATCTGAAGTAAAATTAGGACTTTGAATTAAATTTGATCACTTTTTTCACACATCATTGATTTCTTTGACTCAAACCATAAAAACATTCATTACTAGCTTTCATGTTGCAATGTGAAAACAAAACAAAACAACAGCAACAAAAACAGTAAAACAAAAAAGTTAAAATAATTAAACAGAGTTAGGGTTATTTTAATAAAATAAAATAAAATTAAATTAGATTTGTGATTTGACCAAGTTAATTGGAATAGTGGAGCATTAGTGAGGTGAGAAAATAAAGAAAAAGTCTTCACATCATCAAACAACCCGGTAAACAAAACAAAACAGAAAACAAAAACAAACACAAAACAAAATTAAATTAATTAAGCAAAACACTAAATAAATTAATCAAATATTATGTAATTTGACCAAGGTAACTAGAATAGTGGAGCATAAGTGAGTTGTGAAAAATAAAAATAAAAATAAAGAACACACTCTTTTCATATCAAACATCCCGATGCGTGGAACAACTCAATTAAATAATGCAATACGTTTTTTTATCTTTTATTTCAAAGTCATGCCACAAGTTGACAAAATACAAAAGAAAAAATAAGTACTTCAAATAAGTATATCAAATAACTACAGTGTAACCCAGGAGAGACTTAAACGCAAAATAAAACACATTTAAACAGAGATAAGATAGAGAAACCCTACAATCAGTAAAGATATAGTATATATGTCTGTCTGTTTGTTTGTTTTTTTGAACACAAGATTCAATGGCTAGATATAAAACAGTAAACAAATGAGTATAAAATGCTGATAAAAGATACTTGTTATAAAGATAATATCAGCTATGTTTCATAGAATGAAACCATGCAAGATATTTTCTATTTCTGTTTATGTATACATACGTCAGTTTCAAGTTTAACATCAGCAGAAAAAATACAAGAGTATCACAAGCTCATTCTCTGGATGTTTGTCCCATGTCAAAAAATGACAAAGAGCGATAGGATTCACTCGCTCCACAAGCATTCACTGGTTATTAAGGCTGTACTCTATCAAGATGCCTAGAGAAAGTCCAACATGGCATGATAGCACTGGTGACGGCGTGTGTTGAAGAAAAGAGGTTCACTCAGCCAAAGTACATGCAGCGGTCAAGGCCAAAGAGCCAGTAACATCACAGAGAGCAAATAACAGCCAGCAGAGACACTCGGGAACGTCATTCACATGAAAAAAATGCCAGTGATTCATTGGACCTGAACTTGCCTCGTGATTACAAGCAGTTAAAAGTCTCTACAGACATAATACATGTTAAAATTGTGAATAAATTATGCAGTGAAACTGGGCAATCTCTGCTAATATGTTTGTTTCCTTCATACATACTTTGCATTAGCTGCGCAAACAGTGTATAAGTTACTGTATAAATTCATACTGCGTATAAATCCTGTTTGTAATCAAACACAAACCCACATGCAATGTAAAACTACACTTACACATGGAAACAGCATCAAGATCAACTTGACACGACATGGCAAATGTTCCTCTATTTGATCTGAAGCATGCACTACAATCTAAGTGAACCAGGACCTTCTCATTTAAACGCTGTTGTTCTGTCATATGGCCAGGGCCGAAGAAAATTAAACTTGTGTCAGTAATAATTAAAGAAAACGTGAACAATCAAAATGCATTAGAAAAAAAAACGTACACCAGAACATGTTTGACATTAAAAGGCATTTGAACTTCAACAGTTCTTATTATATGCCATTGGCCACTTATGATATTTGGCAAAATAGACAGGGAAAAAAAATCACAGGAAATGCATATGACTCCAACTGTACTGGCACATTGGCATCTTTCACAGCATTCTCATCCAAAAACAACAACAACAACAAAAACCTAAACATTGAAGCTTTGGATGAAACAAAGAGAAACGAAGAATGAAAGATTTGTTGTCTTTAACAGCTAAAGAGACTTAAGGCTATTTATTCATTAGTTTAGTCAGATTTAAAGGTATAAGGCTGTAATTTCTGCACACATTACCTAAAAGAGCTGCACAAATTCCAGAACAAGCCCCTTGTCTGCAATTGGCCAGATAAACAGATAGCCCCACCCCACACTCACCCCATTGGTTAAGCTCAAATAAAAAGAGCAATGTTTTGATAGCGCCACAGAGCCATAGTGCTAGACTTAAGGGAAATAAATATATGGGGAAAAAATACACATTTGAGCAAAATTGCTACCTTATACTTCATTTGAATTCTCTGCTGTTTGAATTTATACTATCAATATAACACCTCTCTTCTCAGTACAAATTACTTTCTGTGATCTAAATCAGTCAGTCATAAAGGTCAAAATGGAGATAAGTAAAATCTATTCAAAGACAAGACATTTTCCTTGCTAAATCCCCTGTTTACCTGTCATAATCTGACCTGTGGAGGTACAAATGATGTAAAAGAATGACTGGGCCATTGTTGTGGATTTCCAATCTGGTTTTATAAAAACTGAAATGTAATGGAGCTAAAGAAAAAGCTTTATTCATCCTTGAATAAAATCAGTCTGTCTCCGATGTACCATATTTTGCCAAAGGCTAATCCACGGGGCTTGAGCGCAGACTTGTCATCCAACATTGATACTCTGATTGGCACAACATTTGTACAAACCTGTTATATAACACTGCGTGGCCTCTTTATGTTCCTCTTCTTCCTACTTCCCTATCTTTTCTTGCTCAACTAGGTTTGAGTGTCAGTACTCATTTGGATCAGTGGCTCAACTTTATAAACATTACAAACTTTATAAACATTAGTTATTATAACCTAATGTTTGAGATTCTTATGCTACATTTTGACACAAAATATTAAAAACGCCAAACAGGCTCATGGCAACTGTTGTACCATTTGGCCTTCACATTTGTTTCAGACAGATTATTAAAGAAACTTTACACAAGGCAACAAAAATAATACTTCAGAGGCAATTTAAAATAAATTAATATGAACTGAAATTAGCAAACATGAGTTATGAAGGAATAAATCCTCAAATTTTCAGCTCAACAAAGTGCAGAAATCACAGCAGTGTAGCAGTCATTCAAATAAAAAGACACATGAGAGGATGCTAAAACATATCCAACCATGATAAATGATGGATGTGGACTTATTTCTGTTTTCCAAAACTCACTTATAGTGACTGAAAGCATAAACAAAGACATTGTAGTGCACAAAGAGTTCTGTAGCAGTCTCTGGTGGAACAGCACAACTAGCCATTGGAAAGGACACAAAGCTGGTGAAGATAGTCACCATGTGTCTGTAGTTAAAGTGTAGTTCTTCATCGTCAAGAGAAGTTGAGAGAGAAAAAACGAGGGATCTTCTCTTAAGTACAGAATATCTGTTGATGCAATCGTGCAGCAGTTGTTGCGTATCTCAAACAATGGCACATGCTGTTTGGCAGGAGTCTGACTAGAAAGTCATTAAGACACAGAGAAATCCTTGTTTTACAGTCTCGCGATCCTCAGAGCAAGAGTGAGGTAAACCCAGAGATATTTGTGGGTCCAAAGGCCTGCTCTTCATCCTTTGAGCACCGCTAGCACTGATAGAGTTTCCCCTTTTATTTAAACATGCATAACCTTTAATGATCCTTAGGTTACTTTGAGTCTGGATCACACACACTCGTAGGGTGACCAGACAACTACAATAACAATATAGGGATACATGCTCGTGAATACAGTATAAGCACATTTTGGCTTGATTTGATACTTGTTTTAACTCAAAAGGGTTTAAAAACAGATGTAAATTTAATAAACTCGGTTATATAAAAAGGCTTAGATATATTTGATCTTTTGGTCACACTACAATGAGTAAAACTTAAACGTTAACTCTCATGGTGTAAATAAAAGCAAACATTTTTAGCTTAAGATTTCTCCATTTAATGTTTTACGATGACTTGTAAAAATGGCAGCCAATAACTAGAACACAAATAAACAAAAATATATTCAAATAATTAAAAAAAATGAAAAAGCAAATAACAAAATTACTTAAACTGAAATTAAAATGAAATCAAGGCTAAATGCTACTTGAAAATATTACTAAAACCAATATAGTGCTGCTTGTTTCTAATGATAGAAACAGATGTTTAACTAAAGCTAATACTAATTATTAGGAAAAATGTAATCTTAAATATAACTCTGTCGAGATGTAGGACTCATCGAATCAGGACTATCTGGTCACCCAAACACACACACACACACACACACACACAAAAAGGTAAAATGCTTATCAAACTTCCTGGCATTTTTATAATGCCCATCCATGTATTCAGGCAAAGAATGGCATGGCAGATAGTCCGGGTGGGCTTTTGGTATTGTGGGTCCACTGGAGTCTTCACGCTCTAGCAGGCTCTATTCCAGACTCCTGTTGCTAAGCGACATGACCCAGAGAATCCAAAGAGGTGCCTGCTGCGGCCCACCGGTCACTGAAATCTTTCAGCTAAATGAGAGCTGATCAGGTCTTGCTAACCTCAAGGTCTCTGTAATCAGGTGGACCTCCATGTCACTGTGCATCTGTGTGAACGGGCACACGTGTTGACACTGACTGA